TGAACATCGTAAAAACATTCTAACAAACCTGATGTAATTTTGATGAGTCAAATTCATTTTCATGTGAAATTACTGAAATCTTTTTTTTAATTTTACTATATATATTCATTTATAAATATATATATTTTTCCATGTCAAAAATCATCCCCTGAATGATTGAAAAATACACTACCAGACTAGAGACATATAAGTATTGGAGTCGATGGGGTTAACAAAGACATTGCCATCCAGTTCCACAGTCTGACTCGGCAGCCAGGAGAAAACTGTATCACTGGACCCAAGACTTATCTATAACAAGAATATGTATGATAATAAGTGATTACATATGGACTAAAACTACAATTGTGATATGTGTGATTTGTTTTACAAAGAATTAAATTTTTTCACAATTTTTTTCATCCAAAGGAGCAGTAAAAAAATTTTAAAGAATATGTGATTTGACAAGAGGCCCATGGGCCTTATAGGTCACTGAGTATCATTTAACAACTTTCCAACAATTGAATTTGATTGGTGTTTTTATTCAGAGGCTCAGGTGAGCTAATAAAAGACTTTTTTTTACAAAAAAGATATGGTTTTATAATGCTAGTAAACATATGTTTATCACCAGTGTCTTGTACTTACAATTGTATCACCTAGTTTAGGCGCCACTCCTGCCAGGGATGCTATAAAGATACAAATAATTTTGTAGATTTGATAATGCACTTGCAGTTAAGGTTCAACATACATGTTAACTCTCCCGATTTAGGCGGGAGTCTACCGCTTTTTCACTCCATCTCCCGCCTACCGATTTAATTCAGAAATCTACCGCTTTTCTACAAAAGCTGCGTCTAAAGTATTTTTGGTTCGCTTGGGTATCCATTTTCGAAGCCACTCTCATAAAATCTCGCTAGATAACGCGTGATTTGAACCGTTCAATCTTTTAATAAGAGAGGTAGCTCTCACTGAAAACAATCATTCCTTTAAACAATCCGTCAAGTAAGTCATTTCTGACAAATTTTGCACAAATGTTTTGCTGAAAATGTTTGTATCATAATGATAAATTTGATTTTTTTTGGGAAATGATTAATATGTGAAAAAACAAAACCTAGAAGGTATTATGAAAAAGGATGAAGGATCTGAAAGTCTTCTCAGTTTTTACAGAAGTAAGGATGTTTGTTTTTCGTGTTTTTATTCTAAGATAAAATGAGAGGGTTTTTCCTAGTCCTTAAATATATCTATGAAAATAAGGTCATATATGTATACTTAAAAAAATATTTGCCTTATTGAAGAAAACTTATTTACTACCAAATTTTACCAAAATACTAAAATACCTGGGTTATCTCCTGTAAAAGCCACAACCTTGCAATTTGGACTAAAGTTATATCGACCAATGAGAAACTGGCTCACGTTTCCCTATCAAAGATACAGGAAGACATGTAAAAATAGATTGAAAAATCAATGTACAATATTAGTCCTTAGAAATGCAGGGTATGAGGCAAAAATTCGATGAAGACTTTGTTAAGTAGCTATTTCTTGTTAAACTTACAATGACTTGTTTGGATGGCACTGGTTCTCCCAGCTTCTCACTCAAGTTTGATCCACAAGCCTTTTAAAAAAAAAGAGAGATATACACATATCTACTAATTTCTGTAAATCATCTTTTTTTGCCCATTATCCAAGTACTTATTTTTTTATGTGAACACAATTCATTACACTATTTATTTAATCCCATCCCCCTGTGATCAAGGAAAAGGGGCTGCTAAAACAAAACCTAAGAAAAGAAACAAGCCAGCTTCTATGATAGACATAAAAAATGAAATAAAAAAGCAAATCTTGATTGACTGATGATCAGCATGCATCCAATTAATTGAAAAGGAGATAAATATAGGATAATTTGAAATGTGGAGGACTTAAAAATACCTGAAGACATTCTGGTGACCATTTCTTAGTTCTAATGTCCAGAAGGTTCATTCCTGACCCATCACTCAAATCTATTGGAGCATAATCTCCAATCAAAAGGGATGCTGCAAAACTACTGACCAATGAAATCCTCTGCAATATTAATACAGATTAAGTTTAACAGGTGACCAGAAAAAAACAATGATTATGAGAGCAGAAGATGGTAAACTCTCTGTACCTCAGTGTCATTGTACTCAGATGGTCTTGTCTGAGAAATCTTCATAATCTGGGGCCCTGTAAACCTCTCAAAAGCACGAGAACCAGTTATTTCTGCTAGTTTCTACAAAATCAATATCTTTAAAGTAGTATAATTCAGGGGCAGAATTCGAAACTTTAACCGCTTACAAATCATTTGGTTTAATTTTAGATTGTGTCATTCACTAAAATGCTTTCAAGCTACCCAAATATCAATGAGGTTGGAGTTGCATGTTTTTAGATGCACTGCAGAACACTTTCCAAAAGTATGAACAGCTTTCACTGTAAGATAATTAAATCTTAGAAGACTATAATGAAACATACCAAGGGACCGCCTACTTTTTCTTCCAGTTCACGGCAGTTCTTTGTTGTACTGGCATCCATCCATATAGGAGAATCAGGGATCGAAAAACAGTTCTGTAATTTCATGTTATAAAGCCATATAATCCTTTAAAAATCAAATGCTATTTGTTTTTGAATTGGCCCTGGGGGTAAGACTCAGGAGGGAGGGAAAATACTTTATATTACCTGTAGTTGTTCATGGAGAGGTTTTTTGTCATCAAGATTTCTTAAGATTTGGTTTGTACCTTTTTTCCAGTATGCACTGCCATGTTGCTGCAAAGAAAAGAGTACCTGCAGATATAGATGTACTTGCACAGTGACACCTATTTTTATTCTTATATTTATCTCCCCTACTTCAGTTTAAGTGTTCAAAGCATTCACTAAAACATTTAATTTAGATACACCCAGATCCTTTTTATTAATTCTATTGATTCCAAATATTAGGGAGGAATTCTAATTCAAAACTTCCAATTATTATAAAGAATTAAGATACAATTTTTTGATAAAATATACATGTACATGTGAAAGGTGTCACACCTGCCCTGCCCCTGAAATGCATGCCACTTTGTGAAAGGGAAAACCATCCTTCTTCATTTTATCTAGCAACAAGTCAAAGGCCTGTCCAAAAAATGCAAATAATACAAACATGTTTAGTTGCAGAAAACATTCCTACCCTATCAACACACATCAAGTATTTTATGCCTATTCCACATTCAGCTTTTTAAAAGAAATTAACTCATCGAGAAAAGCAAGAAACCCTGAAAACAGTATTTATTATATAGAGCATATCATGTACTAATATAGTATAGTATTTTTATTTGGTATCATGTCATCATACATAAAACAAATACACATAATTATACTTGATCTTGTTACAGTTGAAAGTTGGTAATCAAGATTTTATAAATAAATAATTTAACATGACTAGATAGATACCAGGATAACCCATTAAAGCTCGAGAGCTTATTTCCAATGGGGTCCTAATAACTAAATAACTAATAATGTCCCAATTATTGAATTACTTGTCCATAATATTTTTATATTATTAATAACTGCATATGGATGTCAAAAATTTACCTAAATACAGAAATAAGATATATTTTTCATTTATTAAAACTTTTTCTATTTTTAGGAACATTGGAAATATTCAGTAGTGTTTGGGGGGAAATATTTTAACAGTATACAGTGGTATAGTGGTTCATAAACTAATTTAAATAATTTTAGATAAATATATATGCTATGGTACTTTAAATGACAGGTAACCTTACCTTGACCCACATGATACTAGGGGCAGTAACTGTGACATTATCGTTGTGGATGTGCACCCCACCATGAGTTCTAAAACAATATTCCATACAATGATACATTCTATAAAATATTTTCACACTCCAATTTAAATTTCAAACTCATTATCCTGAATTTTCTGACACTTTAAGAGTTACATTGTTTCATTGAGTTCTTGAGATAACAAGGTTTGACTGTAGATAACAATGTTTGACACACTTGTAGTAGTATATTCCAGGGTAGCTGCAATAATGTAGCCCTCTCCGATTTTTTTAATCTGATCCCCCCCCCCCCAAAAAAAGGAGAGGACTACATTTGCAGCTAATTCCAGGGAAGAGAAAATTTTTTCCATCTATATAAAGTTAATCAAGATAAACATTCTAGTTTTTACTTACTTGAATTCTGGAAGATCGGAGTCAAACTTGACTGCTGTTTCATTTACAAGTTGCAGAGAGTCATTTATTGCTTCTGCCTTGATCTGTAAAAAAGGAAAAATATACCTTCTTGTGTCATTTAATTTGATTGAAAAGATGTATTCTATATTCTAAAAACCGTACAAAAAGTAATACACATGTATACGCCAATGAATTTCCCATCTGAGTTCCTCTTAGATCCGCCTAACAATTCTTTTTTTTTTTTTTTTAGATCGGGATCAAAATTTTTTGTGTCTTTACTTTTTCTAAATTTTGTTTGCAAATGCATAACTTTTGTCAAGTGACAAATGGTTTAAATGTAGCTATGTAATAAAATGCATTCACCTACTTGTTGTGTGCTAAAATCAAATCCCAGAAACAAGCGATCTTCACCAGCGTCCATCGTTATCTGCCGAAGCTGAAAACTGGGTCATTCTACGATTAGGCTGTCCCTGAATGGAGGCGCTAAAAGGGGAAAAGTATGCGTGCTGGTCGTGGAAAAAATTAAAACTTTCTCGAAATAAGACTGAGTACCAAACAAAGACATAGATAATATAATGCTTAATGTTATTATTTGTCTGGTATCAATTGAATATTATAATCATTTTTTGTGTGTTTATAATTTGTGTTTTTATTGAGAGATGCACAACTTGATTGAACCCCAGTAATTCAAAAGCGGTCATTTTTGTTTATATTTGTTTATATAAAGCTAATTATATTTTGACTCTGTTTATTTTCCTTGTGATTTCGTTAGGCTATAAGATATACTGCATGTTTGGCAAAATCCCCCCTTTTTTTTTTTAGATCAAACACTCATTACCAAGTGATTACACTGTAAACTGGTAGAATAAAACCGAAATTTTGCCTCCTAATCTTTTACAGCAATACAAGTATTTTGCTATGAAAATGTGGTGATTTTCTTTTTATTTTAAACTTTGAAACTGTAAACTGCAGCCGTGGTAAAGGTATCATTCCGGGTTTTTAATAAGTGTCCGTTCACATTTACCTTTTCGTTCACTTCATGAGTTTCCTATTTTAGATTTTGGCGGTGTAGTGAAAAAGAAAACAAATTGTAAGATTGATTTGAAATGTTTGCACTAAATAATAGGCTCTAAATAATTTTTATCTCACGAAACACGAATTTTGTATTTCAAAGTTAATAATTTGCGTTAATTTAATACTGTAGTTACCGAGTGTTTTAGAGATATAACGTCTTGGGGAAAACTGTACGGTAATCCACGTGTGGTGCAATTTGTTTTAATCACACGTCTGTTTTATTATTATTATTAAATTTGTATTGTGAAAAAGAAGCTGTATATTGTATATTATAATATGTTTTACGGTGTGACTGTTGGGGTGAGCGCAGTTTATTTACTATCATAAACCTACACATGTCCTGTCTATCAAGAAAAAGAAAGAAAAAAGAATAAAACAAAACAATAAAAAGAAATCATTTCCCAAGCCTCGGGATCGAGATTCCAAACTTCTCGGAAGTTTCCGACAAAATCGGAAATACCCGAACCGTTGAAGTGACGAAAGTATGACGTCAGATAAAAAGTTCTGTTGACTTAGGACCAGACTTAGGTTTTATGGAATAGAGATTGCATTAAATCGTTCTTTTCAAGTAAGTTGTTGCTATATTTTAGCCACCATGTTGCTATGCACCGCAACATCCGAGTTTCACGGAAGCAACCGACATGACTTCGTCAAAATTCGTAAGTTTCCGGTGACGTCATTTGTTTCATTTCCGAAGGGCAAGGTGAAAGTCGGTGTTGTGGCATGGGGGTATTTTTTTTAATAAGGTAAGGCAAAATCATTTCGTTAAGATTTCGGTAAGAAGCAATGTTCCTTTATTTTTTTACTATTTTTGATTTATTCGCGCAAAGGACATTGGGTAGTGCAGGAATTCTGGGAATGTTGCACAGAGAATTTGGCTGACGTATGTACAGATTTCAATCCGAATTTCCTCTGTTCGTACACGTTAGTCTATTGAGCTCGCTTCGCTCGCTATTATTTTATGTTGTATTTTACTGTCTTTTGCAAAACTCGTGAAACAGGTCCAGCACAATCGCTTGATTAAGCTATATAGCTTTAAAAAGCTATATAGCTTTATTAAGCTATTTAAAATAGCTTAATAAAGCTATTTATATGCAATTTTCAACAAAAAGGTTTTTAGAAAGAAGTAAACAAAAAGTCGCAAGTATTTGACTATGCATATATGTACTTATGGCTATCAAAAATACAACCTAAACCATAGAAAGTTCTAACATAGCTGTTGTTGAATATTTTTAAGCAAAAGATGAATTTCCATTGTTTGAGTAACTGCACTATTATATCAAGTGCGGTGAGGCGTGGATAAGTATGATTGCTTCTCATTATGTTGAACTGTTACCAATCAATTATCCTGTTGGCCATAACTGACCACCTTTATAATTTCATTCAAGAGATAACTGTGTGTTCACTCATCAATAGCCCCCAAACTTTTAAAACTTTGAGTTCAAAGTCTCTCAACATGCTCAAGGAGACGCAATTTGGTGAGTGATTTTTACATGCATTGTATTCAGAAGAGTTCAAAGTTTAATATTCCCACTGCACCAAGGTGCGACTTTTTGCACATGCTGAAAAAATAAAACATTTGAGAAAAAGTGTGATAAAATAGCTTAATCAAGCTATTCTGAATAGCTTAATAAAGCTATAAAGCTAAATCAAGCTATATAGCTTAATCAAGATGTTGTGCCGGACCTGTGAAAGTAACATTTAATGATAGCAGTTGAAAATTTCAATTGTTCTAGTAGTGGTAGAAAATGTACATATTGCCAATCAGGGGGTTCATTCTGAGTAAAATACATGCAGGGAGAATTATGGTTTTGGGTAGAATTTCAGTATTTCTTTGTCAAAATTGAGACATCTTTATTTATTCAGAGAACAAAATTGTCTGATTTTAGAAAGTTGATTTGTGAATTGCAGCATTCAAATACAAAATTAAGTAAACTAAATTTTATGTTAATTTTTGACTTTGATGAGAAATTTTACCAAAAATGTCAAGGGAATAAAAAAAAATGTAAACTTGAAAAAATAAATTTAACATAGTTTGTTCTAGACTTGAAATTTGAGAGAGAGAGAATACTTTGTTGAAATTTTTATTTTAAATGAAAATCAAGTTCTATGTAAATTGATAAACCTGTTGAACCCATTAACTTTCTACTCAGCTCACAGGGAATAAAAACCCAAAGCTTATTGTCTCATTCTGTGCACACTAAATTATTATCTGATATAATTTTTTAAAATCTTTTTCCAGCAATGGCAGAAACACCTAATGAGTTTAAGCTAAAGAATGCCCCTGATGATGGGATTTCTGCGGTTAAGTTTGGCACGACCAATCAGTTTCTCTTGGCTTCTTCCTGGGATTGTACCGTTAGACTGTATGATGTCATCGCCAACAACATGAGAATCAAGTACAACCATGCTGAGCCTGTGTTAGACTGCTGCTTCTATGTAAGTCAGTGAAGTGTCATCTAGACCATACTTGGGGCTGTAACACTTAGATGAGCTCACTTTTGATTTCAAATTCAGTCTCACTGTTTTTTTTTTATTAATATTTTCTTTTGATAAAGTGAAATCCTGTGACTTTTGGGCATAGGAGCCAGGATTTAAATTTCTTTATTTACATTAGACCTAAAGAATATAAATGAAATAGATTTGTTAGTAATGAGTTAAGCTAAGGACAAGAAACTTATAAATGTACAGAAGTTAAAGGGGATTATAATATGTTGGTAATTTGAAATTAATTATAGATATATTTTCATTTTGATTACATTGTGAATTTATTGCTTCAGTTTGATTTGATCTTTCTAGGATGCAGTGCACTCCTACAGTGGGGGACTAGACTGTACTCTTAAAATGTTTGACTTCAACACTAGCACAGGTATGTTATCAAAAGATACAGAAGGTATATTTTTACTGTATTTAAAATGAGTCTTTTCTTTACTAGTAATTGTATATATCTACAGTCAACAACTGTTTAAAAAGTACAACCAGTTACAAATGCTGAGTGACAGCATATAAATTTGTATTCTTAACTCCAAAATAAAAAGGCCAAAAATAAAATGGACTTTTTGTTAAGTGTTTAATTCGCAAATATTTTAATGAAAATATTTCAAAAGCAAATATTTTACTTATCCTAAAATATCTCCTTGCAATATATCATAAACTATTTGGAGTTGTCTCTCCTCTGATATGGGACATTTGTAAAATAAATGCATCTTAGTCTTGCATTAGAATCAATTTCTTTAATAATATACATTAATTCTGAAAATCTGAAATTCTACATATTTCCTGACTCTAAATGTCTATTCTGTATTCAATGGAGTTCATTGAGTAAAAAACAAATTAGAGGTAGAGCAACAGTTGATCATCATATAAATCAAGTCACACCTTTGAATTTAAAATGTAGTTTTAGTAAAGGATACACTATAAATTTCTGTACAGAACAGAATGTAGGTCAGCATGACGATCCTATCCGTTGCGTGGAGTACTGTCCGGAGGTTAACGTCATCATCACGGGAAGCTGGGACTCCACGGTCAAACTCTGGGACCCCCGGGCGCCGTGTGCTGCGGGCTCCTTCAGTCAACCCGACAAGGTATTCTACAAAATTCAGATAAATGATAAAGGTTTGCTTAATTTTAGTATTAAAACATTATGTCGAGGATTTGCCATTTAATACTTCCAAATTTATGCTAATAAGGATTTGCCACTGTACAATTCATGTAAACTCTTAAAAAAGGAGAAAGTTGAAATTTGTATTGTGAAAGATGCTGGAAAGACTTTGCATCATAATGTTGACTTGTACAATAGAAAACCACTAGTTGATACTTTTAAATGAGGAGAATATCTATATATGTACTGGGATATTTGTCAGAAAGTCTGTCCTAATCAGTGTCACTATCTTGACTTTTATGGCAGGTATACACAATGTCTGTGTGCGGGGATAGACTTGTGGTCGGTACTGCTGGACGACGGATCCTGGTTTGGGATCTGAGGAACATGGGATATGTCCAGCAGCGAAGAGAGTCCAGTCTCAAATATCAAACTCGCTGTATCCGATGCTTCCCAAATAAACAGGGATATGTACTCAGCTCTATAGAGGGTAAGCTTGGACAGAAGTGGTGTAAATGTAAATTTTAAAGAGCTCAGAAATTGTAATAATGAAAACATGGATATGCTATGTTTAGATCTACAACTGATCTTTGACAGGAGTATTATATTTATTATTTAAGGGAGAGTTGCCGTGGAGTATTTAGACCCCAGTCCAGAAGTCCAAAAGAGGAAATACGCATTTAAATGTCACAGAATTAAAGAGAATGGCGTGGAGAAGATTTACCCTGTTAACGCTATCGCCTTCCACTCACATCACAACACGTTTGCATCTGGAGGATCAGATGGATTTGTCAACATCTGGGACGGATTTAACAAAAAGAGACTTTGCCAGTTTCATAGGTGAAAAGAAATTTTCTTTAAATAGATTTTATCCTGGAAAAAAAAACAGCAGTATTCGAATATGGAAATTTAAGCCAAGAAATTAATATTATTTCCGAATTTCATTGAAGATACAATTACAGTGAGATACTGTCATATTACTTAATATACACACTGTGTTATTTTTATAACTTTTCCCTCTTACACCTGAGTTTTTATGTAAGCCCAAAAATTTATAATGAATAGCATATTAACATATGTGAATTTCCTTGAAAATATTAATAATAGCTGCATAATTCAATTAAAACATGATGTCATTTATATAACATTTTGCTCTTATATTGAGTTCATGTAACATTTCTTTGCAGGTACCCCACGGGGATAGCATCATTAGCTTTCAGCCCTGACGGTTCTGTGTTAGCCATTGCGTCATCCTACATGTACGAGAATGACGAGCCAGTGGAACCAACAGAGGATGTGATCTATATCATAAACGTCAGCGACCAGGAAACCAAGCCAAAGTCATGATGTCAAGGTCATTAGACCAAGGTCATGGTTGTATAATGTGTTCAGAGGGAGAGATCACAGGAATTTTACATAAAAACTTAATATTGACTCAGTGACTTCATTATTACCAGGATAAATGATGTTATTTTTTAGTCATTTGTCAATGACCTCTAGTGACTGTATTGTTGTTAGCAGGACAATGTACGGCCATTTCTTCTGTAATTTGTCAATTTCAGTGTTTTAACAATTCCTGAGTGAGGAACTTCATGTTTTATACATTTTGTGTCACTTTCTTATTAAAATCGATGTTTGTAACTTTATTTCCTTTATTTCTTTATGTCTGATTCTTCAAGTAGACTAAGTTATGTAAAGTTCTTTTAACTCTGATCTTAGCTGCAGATCTGTAGCTCACAGATCTGAAAAAAAAATAGGATGGACAACCAGAGAGCTTCAGTGCCACCTTTCAAAAAAAGTGTATACTTTTTGTGTACTAGAAAGGTCTTATCACAGGTAAAACACATGGAATATGAAAGCCCTATCTCTTCTCATTCAAAAAGTTATGACCAAGGTTAAAATTTTTGAAAAAAAAGATGTCAAATTTTAAGGTCACAGGTAAAAAATCATAGCGTATTAAGAAAGGTCTTGTTACAAGTAATACATATGAAATATGAAAACCTTATCACTTTTCATTCACAAGATACACATGTATTACCAATTTGAAGGTTAAAGTTTTGAAAAGTAGGTCAAACTTCATATGCCCTGTTTGCGAAGAATACACATATGAAGAATGAAAGCCCTAGCACCAACAATTCAAAAGTTATGGACAAGGCTATAGTTTGGAATTCTTGTGTAAAAGTGGGTCAAACGTGATGGTCAAGAGGTCAAAGTTGGTGGTTCCTAAAAAATGTTTTTCACAAGGAATACATTTGTGAAATATGAAAGCCATAGCCCAAACCACTGACTCAATAGTTATGAGCAAGATTTTTACATGACCACAATTAGCCAAACTGCAAGCATCTTCATACTGTGCAGATTGAAATTTGTTCAATGTATTAGCTTCATGGTACAAGTATTTGGTTGAGTCACAAAAGTAGACTAGTTTTAGTGACACACAGAACATTTCATGAAGAACATAAGTTTCTAATTGGTCAGATTGAAATCAAGGACATACACAACATGCAAGTACAAAGTACTATAAGATGTTCTAGTTTTGACAGGATATAAAATAATGAAGATCCTGGTATGCTTAATTTTAGAGAAAATTAAGCATTAATATAGTTTCAGCTGGTATAAATTTTAATTTACAGGATGTGTGCCCCCCACCCCCCCCCCCCCTAATTTTGCCGATATAGTACACCGCAGAAAAGTTTTTAAGCATAGAAACATTACCATATAAAATATTACCATATCTGCTTGTGCCCCCTCAAGAAAAACGTCTGATGTCTTTTTTTGCTTGGCATGAAAGTTTTGGTAGTTGATAGGGCCGCCAACTTAAAAATATGGTTGCCCCCCCCCCCCCAAAAAAAAAGAAATTGCTTCCTGCGGGCGTAAATTGGAACTTTTAAATTATACAGGGAAAAGAGCTTTACGTTTAAAAAATGTGCACAGATAGACTATAAATTACCCATTAATTTTCATGAACTTGTTAGCTTGGGCAACAATATAGGGTGTCAAAATTTTAAAAGTGGAATGTAAAACTAAAAATTTTTTCTTTTTTTTAAATTGGAGAAATTAGGGATCTAGTGTTACCGAGCTCTAAAATTAATTCTTTTATTACTTTATTAGATAAGACACTTCTGTTTATTAAACAATTTAAATCATTAGCGTCAAGTTTAAAACTGGTGAAAAGGTAAATAACGGCATATATCAATATCTTTAATCGTGTATTTTTTTTTCTCAGGAACGCCTTATTTATACCTTCAATATCTAGTTTTGTAGAATTCAAAAGAATATCTCATGTTTACATGTTGTAGCATATACCTGTGTGTTTGCATTTCATTGCTCATCTAGGTGTCATATTGAATAAAATTAAAGTCCGACATCACAATCGCTATCATAATTATCTTACTTGCATGCTAAAACTAGGACATTCAGGTAGGCAACACCCGACAAACATGGCTGCCAATACCACCAAAAAATATCCACTGGGCTCTCCTCAAGAGCACATTGAAATGTGTGGAACTCATGAATTACCTATTGACATGATATGTGAGGACTGTGATGAATTTATTTGTGGTGATTGCGCAAAATCAAATCATAGAGATCATAACTGGAAAACCATATCCACGGCAGCCACCCAAAGGAGGAGAGGTCTGCTGAAATTTTTGAAGAAGATTAAGGAAGAAAATCTACATACACTTGCTGAGAAGCTAAAGAAGATTCCACGACAGATCACAGAAAATAAACAACTATGCGATTCTGAGATTAAAAGACTACAGAAGCATTACGAAGATATAATAGCCAGGCTGACAGAAATCAGAATACGGCATGAAAAGACAATGAAAGACAACTTGATTAAAAAGAATGATGAGCTGAATCATGTGAAATCTGAGTTAGAGAAGACGAAAAGAGGAATTGTTGACACAGTAGAATTCATGGAGGAGAACAACAGCACCATGTCTGATTACAGCTTGATTGACAACCACAGAGAATTGACAAAAATGCTGTCTGAATTAGAGGTTCATATAACAAATTGCGAACATTCAGTGAGGTTCGTTAGAGGTGAAATCAATGAAGACCTTCTTGCACCTTTGGTTGGAAGAACTTTGAATTTAGATGTTATTGGTGTTACTCAAATAAACTGCTTTCAATATGTAGATAAAGCAATGCACGGTTTGGGGTCAATCAGTGAAGACCAATGTTACATACATGAAATAAATTCAAAATACATAGAAAAAATCAATAGGCAAGGCATAAAAGAACATAGATTTGGTATTTTTCCTAATGACATGTGTGTGACTGATAATGGTGATGTTTATTTCACTGACGCGGATAATAATTCTATCAGCTGTCTGTCACCATCAGGATCTGTCTCGACAGTCATCAGTACAGATCCACTGGTACCATATGGAATCTGTAAGTCAGTGGACGGAGGACTACTGGTCACCTTAACAGATGAGGTATCAGATGATCACAAATTAGAGTCTCACAGCAGACGTCTGGTGAGCCACATCACAGTGACAGGTGATGTCATCCATGAGTATGAGTACCAGGAGGACGGTCAGACTAGACTGTTTACAGAGCCATACAGTGTCACACAGAACAGTAACAGTGATATCTGTGTTGTGAATCGTAAAAGTCACACTACTCGTGAACTAGTGATTTTGTCTCCGTCTGGTCGTATGAAGTCTGTCTACCGTGGACAGAACCTGGCAGAGAACTTTTGTCCACATGGTGTAGTGTGTGACTCCCTCGGTAATATCCTTGTTAATGACCCACGGAACAAACAGATCCATCTACTGAGTCCTGACGGGGAGTTCCTGAAGTTCTTACTGACAGACAATGAAGTGAACTATCCCTCCACACTGTCCCTATACAAATCTACACTGTGGGTGGGATACTACGAAGGAGTTGTCAAAGTGTTTCAGTACAGGGTGTAGAAATAGAATATACCAGACTGGACTAAACAACAAGCATCTTTTAAGTATTATGTCATAAAAATTATCAAAAAGTAAACCCATACAAGTACAGTGCATACACTTGATGATTCACTGTATGTTGTTTAACGTCCCACTCGGGAATCTTTCATATGGAGATGTCGCCTACACAGTCAACACTAGTTATCAAAATCGTTTAATTTTGCTTTACATTACATTTTAATTTTGTATAATTTAATTTCACTTGTATCAAGCAATTTTATTTGCTGAATCATTCTGAGGAACATATAATATTTTGTATAACATAACGTGCCTACGTCACAATGCTTTACGTCAAAAACATATTACTGCGCTTGACGTTATTTTTAAAATAATGCTCAATTTAAAGTTTTTTTTCCGGAGGAAAAATTATCTCAGTGTCTATACTGAAATTAAATTATAAGGAATGAAGCTTATTTCAACTTATGTTATCCGATTTAACAAAACTTGGGGCAGTTTACGCTTTCTTATAAACCGCTTCGAGGTTTATAAAGCGTAAACTGCCCCAAGTTATGTTATATCGGATAACATAAGTTGAAATAAGCTTCATTCCTTAAATAAATTTTCCTATTATCAGATTTATATATCAGTTTTACTATTTAACTTTAAAATACTGAATCAAACCAATTATAAAAGCTTTATATTTATAATCTACCAGGATAGAGCTTTCAGGTTTTCTCATAGACCTTAAAATTTTAGTTAATTTATTTTCATTCATTATTTTATCATGAATTTTGACAAGTATGGTAATAAAGAAGAGTCGTCTTAAAAAATTTGTTTTACGTTCTCAAGAATCCAGGGGGGTGGGGGGATTACATAGGAGGCATCAAACGTCCAGCCTAATTCAACCCCATTACCCACTTCAAACCTTTGATACACCCAAATTGGCATGCTAGTATTTGTATTGTTTTTAATTTTGTTTCATGTATAGTGTTCCAAAAGTTTAAAAAAAACATGTTGATTTTGACTAAAATCTTTATTATCAAATTGTCTTTGAAGTTATTGCCTGATTAGGTAGTAAGAAAGATGTACACATGATCATTGATAAATAATACACAATTTAGTTTTATTCTGACAAAATCGCGTCAATACGGAATGAAATGCATTGTAAAAATAAAAACTCAAATTTCGAGCAATCAGCTGCATGTAAGATATCAATCTGTATATACAACACTAGGTCAATCCAAAATTTTCTTTATTAAATGAAATATAATATATAATACAATGTAGGTAGCGACATATACTGAAAGGAAAAGAAACCAAGAGACGGGGTAAAATTTTCAAGTAATATTTATAGCTACTTGTTCGATCGAAGGTATTTCTCAGTTTTGTACACGTGTACAATTGAAATCATTTCTATCAACAAGTTACCAAAAGCTCATTGAGTTTGAATGATAATTCACGAGCTATTGAAACTCAATAGATTGTAGGCCACCAACCATCAATGAAAAAAATGTCATCTTTATCTAACACAACATTGAATCTCATCAACATGGACTTCTTCAGTGCATTAATCTTTCTCATAGGAATATTATTCAGCCTTTCCCACAGGGTAGCTCCTAGTTAGTCAAGAACAACGAGGCTATATATCGATGAAGTTCAAACCCATTTCGATGATGTGCATTTATTTTTTTGAGATGTGCGTTTGTCATTATATGATTTACTTTGTGAATTTCCTTATGTTACGTAGTTTTGTCATTAAGTGATGTGATTTAGTCATTATGTGGTGTACATATTTCATAATATTATGTACTTTCGAAAGTTTATATACTAGTATACGTTGTGTTCAAAAGTCATTGTATGTGATGCAAACATCTTTACTTGAAGTGCAATTTTCATCGTTTTGGATACGTATTTTCTCTGTACATATGCAACAAATATATGAATTAAAAAATTCAGACATAATAATATCATTTGAAAGTTATTCTTATCACTTAGGCAATTAACTAGTAAAGTCTTATTTTAAATCTGAAGCATCTGAGGGTATATTTGAAATGAATTGTGAAATGATTGTATAACGTGTGCCATTGGTTTGTTGAAGAGGTTCTTGCATGATTATCTTACAAGTCGATCACAAAGGTTAAAATAAAATCATCAAGTTCTTCGGTGGGAAGAACCAAAGAAGGAGTTCCCCGGGGTTTTGTTCTGGGGCCTTTACTTTTTCTAGTTTATATAAATCATCTGCCATATCCACTCCATGGTCTCTGTAGACTATTTGCGGATGATACATCTGTGTCAAATACCTCCAAAAATATACAGGACTTAGAAAGATTTACTAATCTTGACTTAGAAAAACTTAATTAATGGTCAAAAAACTGGCTTGTAAAATTCAATCTTAATAAGACCAAAATATTAATGTTTGGTTGTAAAGAAAATGAGGTATCCAATTTACATTTTAAGTTTGACAATCAAGAGATAGTCCCATCTTCTACTCACTGTCATCTTGGAAATTACGTTCTCAAATTCTGGTAAATGGACAAATCACATCGATAACATTATTAAAAAGACTTCAAAAGAAATTGTGGTTCTTCGTAAATTGAAATTGTCACTGAATCGAGACTTTTTAACTAAAATGTATATAACATATATTAGGCAACTTTTTGAATATGCATCAGAAGTATGGGATAATATTTCCGCAGCTGACTGTGATAGGTTGGAGAAATTACAATTAGAAGATGCGCGTATTGTCACTGGCCTACCTATTTATGCTCCTCGTAAGTCTCTATATAATGAAACAGGATGGGAAACACTAGCCTATAGACGGGAAAAGAGAAAACTAGATGCTGTCATGAGACATTAATACCCGCACTATGGTGTTTGCCTCTAAATACACACTCCTTCATATTGGACTTTCCAAGGAAGAAGTCAAAATAATTCTATAATTATCACCGTACATGTATTCGTCAAATTGAACATAAAATTTTCAGGTGACCATATGATCTATGAGCCTCACATATGTATTTTGAATACTTAATTCATTACCAGTCTGAAATAACAGAATTTAATTAATGATTGAAGTAAATTACTTAATTAGATTCAGATAAATATTTTGCCCATAATTTGGAACTTCTTAAATTTACTTTCTCAACGACATATTATTTTAGTACAAAGCGTTTTTGATGAATTTATCAAAATGTGCAAACTGATTTTAGTACTTGGTCGGGAAAAAAAACCCATTGAAAATACAACCCGATTAATTTGTCAATGCCTATCTCTCTCTCCCCCCCCCCCCCCACACACACACACACACACTCTCTCTCACTCTCACATTTTTTAAAAATAGACCTAGATGGCAAAGTTATGTTAAAACATAGTTTATTATGATAGTTTGAAATTTGTTCTTGTACTAAACAGTTTTACGTGTGAACATCTTATTTTCTACATTGGGTTTGCGTCACCCATTATCATATTTATATCACCTCTCGGCACACCTCGGCCGATTCATACTGGCAACGGAATCAGCAAAGGTTTGTCGAATGAGATTATTTAGCACATGTATGCTGACGATGCAGTGTGGTCAGTTAAAATCATTTGTGTTTTAATTGGATTATATGGATTATATTTCATGAATTCGTTGTCACGACCTATGACATTCGGTAAGTACAAGATTTAGTATAGATTGCATAAAAATAAATAAATGCAAATGGTTAGGTTGAAGTTCAAAAAGGGTCAAAGATCTTCGCATGCCACAGTCGACAAATTTCACATTGTCAAGTTATCTCCCGTTGCGGACATTCAGTATATATACAGGCGCAGATCTTTTTTTTCAGAAAGGGGGGGGGGGGTGTCACACCTCAGTCAAAAAAATCAGCCCAAGATTTCCTGAGAAGCAAACAAAAAATAATAATAAAAACAATGATGGTGGAGTCCCTGTTTTCTAAGGGGGAGGATGTCCAAAGTCATTTTTATTCTCTACAGTACATAGTCTTATTTAAATAACTGCTAATTCCAGGGGGGGGGGGTGTCTGATCTCCCTTGCCACTGACTCCCTGTACCTGAAATGACAATTGATCTTATGACTCCATAATAGTAGAAAATTTTTTCGTTTGACTATATAGTATACATATTTTGTTTCCTATGTTTATGTATGTTTGTCTGTCCACAGAAACTTTAACCTTGCCCATAAGTTTTAAGTGGATTGGGCTATACACATGGCTTCAATATTTCATAGGTAAATTTCTTTTGGCAAAACCTTTTGGTTTGTTCCCATCTCGCCTTAACTGTAAAATTTCGCATTCCCATTTCGCCTTAGTATGCTCTCAGGTGAATTAAGGTGATGAAGATTTAAAAATTTAGTATAAAGTATTAAAAAAAAAATACTTGGTGTTAAATGTATTATTTCATTCACTGTATTCATAAATTCCAATTAACTGTTAAATTCAATCTAATTAAATTTTTAAAATTTAAATTATAATAATATTTAAAAATATGAAAATTCCCATTTCGCCTTAGTACCTTTTGACTTTTTCTTACCTGAATTTCATAGTTAAGGCGAAATGGGAACACACCAACCTTTTAATGGGTACCACCAATTTTGACCTCTTGATCTCTTGACCTTGGAGTTTGACCCACTTTTACAAGAAAAATACCTTAAACTTGGCCTAAGTTTTGAACAGGTGGTGCTAGGACTTTCATGCTCTAACATGTGTAATCATTGTGAACTTTCAACAGGTATAATTATTTTTGACCTAGACCTTAGAGTTGAACCCAATTTAACTTTAACCTTGGCAATAACTTTTGAACAGGTGAGGAAGTTCTAGGGATTTCTCTCTTTTTTTCACATGTGTATTCCTTGTGACAAGACTTTCCCTTTGATACCAACAATTTTGACCCTTTGACCTTGACCTTGGAGTTTGACTTACATTTGAGAAACTTCAACCTTTGCCAAAAGCTGCCATAACAGTTGCTGTCACAACAAACAAACAAATAATTACTAAAAAAAAACACAGTATACATGTACATAT